AAAGAAAAAAATTAGAAAAGAAAAAAGTATAAAAAACAAAATAAAAAAATGCGATTTTGCGGAAGTCGCTGATGTTGCCGCCACCTGGTCATTTTGGGTCAACTTCCCGCCACTGTATCTCGATAAGTACTGATCAGAATTTTTTTTTTGTTTTATTACCTTCACAAAAATATTATCTTTAATTCTGTAAGATTTTTTTTTTTTTTTTTTTTTTTTTTTTTTTCAAAAATTTCTTGGACACTGGGGCACCCCTTCAGATTTTGGCCTTGGACCCTGAAAGCGTTAATAGGTAATTACAAAAAGATAAAAGGGCAGACTAGTAGAAATTGACATTTTCCCTATGCTTAAAAAAAAAATTAGGGAATCAAGGATTTCCTGAGCTGCAAACCTGTCACACTGATGAGCAAAACAGTGAGATTACAGTACTGGGAAAAATTCATTAGAGAGAGTGGATAAAATCCTTTGAGAGCAAGGAACTATCTAGTACACCTCTAGAGAAGCTTTTGGATACAGGTGGGAAGTCTTAATCCAAGGAATTGGACTTGACCTCCTCCTCTTTGGATCAGACCTCACTGCCTCCCTGCTGTATGACCCCTGTGGGTTTAACACTCCCTATGAATGTACATACTACTATCTAGCAAACTGTGAGCAAGGAATGAATGTTTCTCCATAGAGTATGTATAATTTTAGTTAACTTGGATGTAAACTACTAGGTAGTAGGTTGGTAGACAGCAACCTCCCAGGGAGGTGGTTGCTGTCTACATAATGGTAGGATTGCTGGCATTTTTTTTTTTTTCATAAACATGCAAGATTTTAGGTGTCTTACTGCTTCTACTTACACTTAGATCACACTGTACATGCATATATATACACACCCCTCTGGGTTTTCCTCTGTTTTCTTGCTAGTTCTTGTTCTTGTTTATTTCCTTTTATCTCCACGGGGAAGTTGAACAGAATTCTTCCTCCGTAAGCCATGCATGTCGTAAGAGGTGACTAAAATACCAGGAGCAAGGGGCTAGTAACCCCTTCTCCTGTATACATTAATAAAATTAAAAAGGGAAACTTTAGTTCTTCTTTTTAGGTCACCCTGCCTCGGTGGAATACGGCCAGTTCATTGAAAAGAAAAATGTAAACTGTACCATTGTAATATGTACAGGTTCATAAAGGGCACATTTATCCTATGTGTAGTTTTCCTCTTCTGTAATAGTGATTTTGGGTTGGAATAACATTTAATTAAAAACAGGTTTACTCCATTTGGTTATCTTACTTTCCAGTTAATAATAACAGTGCTGATTAGTACTGATTGGTATTCTCTTCCTGATGTCTAATCCCTCTGTTGGGTAATGCCTTAGTTGCAGACTCGTTACAATTCGGTACTGTTACCTTAAGTATTCCTGGCCAGGAATACTTAAACAATGTGCCTTTTCTATCACTTCATTCTATACTGTACTACTTGCTGCCACTACCAGGATAGTAACGGTCCCGGGTCTCAGTAAATGCTCAGTCACCTCAGATGGATGGGCTTAAACCGATTTTGTTTTTAAAAACGTTTACATGCGGTTAGGGCAAAAAGAGGAGAAGGGAATGAATACATGATCTCTCTTGTCATTATTATTACACAAGTCAGATTACCAGCTGCAGGGATGGACATTTCAATTTAACTGAAAACCCCCACAAGGAACATAAATGTTTTAGTAGGGGAGGGGTGTTTTAAAGAATACCATACACTTTAACAACTAACATGAGTTTACTTACAGGGCATCCATAGTGACTGGGAGTAAAGTCAGTTATTGAGCAAATGTGCCAGCAAAATCCTAAGAGAGAGAAAATAGTGAATGCATTGCTTATATAGGAAATAGGACCCATTTCCATTGTGCCTAAACCAATAAAATGGCTAGGTCTATTATTTTCTCTGGGCTGATCATAACCTTCCTTTGCCCACATCACAACTCGGCAAATATTTCTGAAGCATCACATGACTTTTTACCCATGACCTACCCCACATGATCTAACTTCACCCTTCTAGGAACATGGTCCATGCAATAATGGCTCATCAGATTATGCTGGTACCTTTGTGTAACATCTTGATGAAAGTTTATTCAAGGAAATAATGACATTAAAATGTGATAAAAATGATATCCTACATCACATCTCGGTAGTAGTGGTGAAGGTATGAGACAGTGTATTGTATTTACATGTGAAAAAGCTATTTTTTCTTAACCTTGTATAGCTGTTGCTTGATGTCTTCCTTGTGCTATTAGCCAGTTAGGTCTTCTGTGACACATTATATTATAAGTTAGATTTGTCATACAATTAAAATTAATGGCATTAGTGCCATTATTCCTTGTGTTTTGCTTATTGCACATACCTAAATAATTTTCTTTTAAAGGTGTTCCTAAAAAAAATTACAAATATTGTTAGGTATTTATTAATTAATTTGATTAAAGTTTTGCTCAACAGTACTCTTTTTAGTGATGTATCCTGTGTGCTTGGGTGCTGACAAACCTCAATACAGTGGACCCCCGCATAATGATATTAATCCGTTCCTGAGAGCTCATTGTTATGCGAAATTATCGTTATGTGAATGAATTTTCCCCATGAGAAATAATGGAAATAAAATTAATCCGTGCAAGACACCCAAAAGTATGAAAGAAAAATTTTTACCACATGAAATATACATTTTCCTACACACAAAGAGAAGGATACATGCACAATAGTAGAGTAGTACATGCACAATATATATTGTGCATGTACTACTCTACTAAATGAAGAATAAATGACACTTACCTTTATTGAAGATGCAGCAATGACTGATGAGACACTGTGTCCTGGGAATGCCTTTTCCTCCTGAGTACTGTAGGTCCTGTTTGGCATTTTCTTCCAGAACAGGCCTTATCACACTGTGTATGTCACTACGATTCTTAAATCTCTCAAACCAACCTTTGCTGGCTTTAAATTCACCAATATGAGTACTAATTCCAGGCATTTTTCCCTGTTCACCTGGGTGTTAGTCGACTGGTGTGGGTTGCATCCTGGGAGACAAGATTAAGGACCCCAATGGAAATAAGTTAGACAGTCCTCGATGACACTGACTTTTTTGGGTTATCCTGGGTGGCTAACCCTCTGGGGTTAATTTTTTCTTGGTATTCTCAATAAGCCACACCAACAATGGTGCTACAGCGACTTTTTTGGGTTATCCTGGGTGGCTAACCCTCTGGGGTTAATTTTTTCTTGGTATTCTCAATAAGCCACACCAACAATGGTGCTACAGCAGCAGCTGATAGTGCTACAGCAACAGCTTGCAGCAGCTGACAGGGCTACAGCAGCAGCTGACAGTGCTACAGCAGCAGCAGACAGTGCTACAGCAGCAGCAGACGGTGCTACAGCAGCAGCAGACGGTGCTACAGCAGCAGCAGACGGTACTACAGCAGCAGCAGCAGCTGACTGTGGTACAGCAGCAGCAGCAGCTGACTGGTACAGCAGCAGCAGCAGCTGACAGTGCTACAGCAGCAGCAGCAGCTGACAGTGCTACAGCAGCAGCAGCAGCTGACAGTGCTACAGCAGCAGCAGCAGCTGACAGTGCTACAGCAGCAGCAGCAGCTGACAGTGCTACAGCAGCAGCAGCTGACAGTGCAGCAGCAGCAGCTGATAGTGCTACAGCAGCAGCAGACTGTGCTACAGCAGCAGCAGACGGTACTACAGCAGCAGCTGACGGTGCTACAGCAGCAGCAGCAGCAGCTGACAGTGCTACAGCAGCAGCAGCAGCAGCAGCAGCTGACAGTGCTACAACAGCATCAGCATTTGACCATGGTACCACAGTATTTCGATATTTCTCACCCTTTTTACCACAGGGTTGGCACTAGAAGCTTTCTTGGGGCCCATGGTCACTTATTTTGCAGATAAAATCACCAAAAACACTGTAATAATACGAAATGTTCCAATTGTATGCTTGGATGTTACCGCGGAGGCTGGCTGGTATACAATGCCACCGTCGAAACGTGAGGCTGGCTCAGGCCGCACATTGGATGCGTCTCGGACGAATAGCGTTGAGTGGGTTTTTTAGCGGTATGCGAGGCAAAGTCTTAGCCATAAAATGTATCGGTATGCGGATTTAACGTTATGTGATGCCAACGGTATGCGGGGGTCCACTGTACATATGTTAGATATCTTTTCTGTTTTATGTCTTTTAGAAATTTCCATACAAGACACTAATGCTACCCTTCCTGCCATTTTTCTATTCCATATTTTGATAAAAGCCTTTTCCCAAGGAAACTGATGTTAATACTGTGTCTAATCTGGCACTGAAAATGAGTTTTGAACACCTAGAAAAGTTCATGCTACTTTTCCTGATACGTCTGAGTTGGTTACTAAAGCTTCCAAACACCATGCTTCTGATTTTTTTTCCATGTATAGAGTTAGGCCTCCATATTTACTTTTAAAACTTTGCTGTGACTTCAATAACTACATTAATATCTTTTATGTAGCGACAAGAGGAATACTCGGATTTTATAAGTAACTTAATTTTCAAAATTATGGCCATTAATATTAGGAGTTTACATGAAACTGTCAGCATAGTTGCTGATCCCTGTGTTGTATAGCATATCAGTATCATCCATGTGCTTTAGATAGGAGATCCCTAGGCCTGTGACTGTTTGTGTGACGTTACGGGATGCGCATGTGTACGTTCGTACCTCTGCCACCTTCTCAGTCGGCGTTTGACACAGGCTAGGACAGGCAGAGGCTGGGCTCCACCTCCCATCATCACAGTCTGACAATATATCGTTACCATCCAACAAGTGTGTTTACCTTCAACCCTCGATATCTCCATATAAGAACCCCTACAATAAGACATGTTTTAAGAGTTTATATAATTTTGTAACTTTTTTATTTTTCTCGGCAGTTATAACTAAAAATACATAATTATTTATTCCAACTTTTGAATTTTAAGATTATTAGTATATCCCATAGTAAAAGAAAATTCACTTTTTTTGTTTTTGCAGATTATCGTCAAGAAATTACATCAGGACAGTCATCCTTTGCTGAACTTGCTAGCAGGGTAAGAAATGTTCTGAATGTTGTATTGAAGTTTTGTACTCGTGTGACGAAATGTCAGTTGATTTACATTTGTCAGCCACATTGGACATCCAGCAGCATGAACATGTGATGAACTCTACAATCTTAAGTGTGACAAAATGTGCTTTTGAAAACTGTTCAGTGTCTAATGCTATCAAGTTAATTTTCTGGGTGAAAATTTTGAAAGACATGTACAGAAACTTCAGCTAGGAGGGTTGTACATGATGCCAGTTGGCCTGCTCCAAGATGTTAAATGTAACAGGGCTTGGTTTCTTAACCCTTTTAGGGTTTCCGACGTACTAGTACGACTTACGCACCAGGGTTTTTGACATACTAGAACGCCTAAATTCTAGCGCCTTCAAATCTAGTGAGAGAAAGCTGGTAGGCCTACATATGAAAGAATGGGTCTGTGTGGTCAGTGTGCACAGTATAAAAAATATCCTGCAGCACACAGTGCACAATGAGAAAAAAAAACTCCGACCATGTTTTTGGTTTAAAACAGCGACTTTGCAGTGTATTTTTGTATGGTATTTATGGTTGTATTTTAGTTTTCCTGGTCTCATTTTATAGAATGGAAGACATATTACAGAAATTAAGATGATTTTGATTGGTTTCATAATGAAAAGTACCTTGAAATTGAGCTCAAAGTAGCAGAAATGTTCGATTTTTACCAAAGTTCAAAAGTAAACAAATCATGCCAAGCGTTCAATACACATCAACTGGTGAGTCTGATATTCTTTCACAAGTGTCTGATATTATTTATACCATTTCTACACTAATGCAGTAGTCTGCATAACAGTAAATCTTCTATTTTTTGTGAGAATAAAAATTCAAAGTGGAAAGCAAAAGAGATGTAAAAGGGACCTGGGGACATGACTAATGAACAGAGGAAATGTTATTTTTAGTGCCAGGAATGTCTGTCTTGTTTATTCTGGACCCTAATTGGAAATTGGCATCTTCTGAAATTTATGTGAAATTGGCAAAATTGCCAATTCTGACCACTTTATTGGATAGTTGAAATCGGTAAATGGGTGGTTTCTTGTACTCATTCGATAGACAAAATGGAGTTCTAGCGAAATAGATATGATTTTTGTCGCCTAGTACATTGGAATTGACCGAAAATAGGGCTGAAATTGGGCAAAATCGCCGATGCTTAAACATCGTCAAGACTGCTAACTTCACGAGAGCATAATTCCGCAAGTTTTCCATCAAATTTCATAGTTTTGGTGTCATTATGATCGGGAAAAGATTCTCTATCATTTCATAAGAAAAAATAATTTTTTTTTTTCTCTGAAAATTTTTTTGACCCTGAGAACGAGTTTAGGAGAGGGCCTCTCAACCCTGAAAGGGTTAAAATGAACAAGGCGAATAAACAAGCTTGTGTAATGAATAACCCAAGATGTCACCTCATGAAAAGAATGATACACAGATCACAACAAGTAAATAAAACAGAAAACTTGTTGCTTCAGTGGATTGAACAAAAGACAAAGAAAGGTGCACCACTTAATTTCCTCTTTATTAGGGAAAAGGCCTTAAACTTGTTTAAAGTAGTGTGTGATAAGGAAGGCCTGAAAAAGTATGTGTGTTGTAGCACAGGTTCCACAACTTTAAGTTGCGTAATAAGTTGCATAAAATCAGATTTTCTGGTGAAAGTGCTTCAGCTGATAATACAGCAGCAAGTAATTTCCTTGCTGAATTGCAGAAAATTATTTCCGAGGGTGGCTATGAGCCACATCAAGTTTTTAATGCTGACGAGACATTTTTTTTTTTTTTAAATGCCAGCACAAACTTATATCAGTCAGCAAGAGAAAAGTGCACCGGGCTTCAAGGCAGCAAAGGATCACTTCACCTTGCTCCTTTGCAGTAATGCATCAGGTGATTTCAAGTGTAAGCCCATGGTAATTTACCGCTCTAAGAATTCTCATGCTTTGACAAGTGTAGATAAAAACACCTTACCAGTAATTTGGAGGTCAAACCAGTCAGCATAGGTGACAGAGGAAATATTTATTGACTGATTTAAGCATCACTTTTTTTTTTTTTTGAAGTCAGTATTTACCTGCACAGCAAGAACCTTACATTCGAGGCTCTCTTTGTTCTTGATAATTCCCGTACTCATCCACAAGCTTTGCTGGGTGTGACCCCACGTGTAAAAGTTGTATTTTTACTCCAAATACATCTCTAATACAACTGATGGATTGGGGAGTTAAGTCTCTCAAGTGTAACTACACAAAAAAAGTTATGAAAAAACTAGTTGCATCAATGGACTCTGACTCCAACCTGGCAGTACCAAGCTTCTGGAATAAATTTAACATTGCAGATGCCATCAGCTATGGTAGAAGTACATGGAATGAGGTACCCTAATCAACATTAAATGCAGGTTGGGGAAAGTTATGGCCTGTAGTTGACTCTTTCACTGGTTTTCCCTTGCTTGAGAATCAGGTTCAGGAAATTGTTCAGCTGGGAAAGAGATTACAAGGTGATGGTTTTGAAGATGTGAATGAGCTCTTAGAAGATGATGATGAAGACAGGAGTCCAGAGGAAATGGCAGAGCTCGATGCACAGATACAGGGGAGGGAGATAACAGAAGAACCTGAAGAAAAACAGTCAACATTGCAGCAGTTACGTGAGCAGTTCCATGTTGCTGCTATACTAGCAGACTTTTTCACTAAAGAGGACCCTGACAAATCTAGAAGCAGTGCTTTGAAACAGGGTCTAGACCAGCTGATGATGCCTTACCATCAGCTGTATAATATACTGCAGGGTATAAGAGCCCAGAGATGCATTACAGAATTTATGCACACTCCAATACAACCATCGACTTCAGTGCCAGAACCTCTACCATCCACTTCTGCCGACAACCAACACCCATCCACCTCAGCCCAGTAGGGCCACACCATCCATATTCACTCTCTTCACAATCATCCACAAACACCATTACCTACAATTAGGGTAAGAAATACTATTATTTATACTGCATTTGTAGTCTTAAGCAGTAATATATCATGATAATGCACTACAATTACATATTCACTTATATTTTCTAAGATCTGTTGGTCTAAAAAAAAGTTGCTTGGGTTTTTGGGGGCTCCCAGGAATGTAACCCTATTTTTTTCCATAAGTTCTTCAGTTTGTCTAACACAGTGTTTTCAGGAACGTAACTACCATGTTAAACGATGGTCTACTGTATGTAGAAATGCAAGAAGTATGGCACACAATTCAGATAAGCCATTAAAAGCTAAATAAGAGTGGCTTTTTAAATAGGAACCTTCACTCCATGCCATGACAAGACTTCTAGTTGCACTGGTGGATGGAGCCATTAGGGTGCAGGTATTGTATATAAGTTTGAAGGAGAGAATACTCTGACATGAGTGTAGTTGACTTGCCAAGGTATACACTGCTTTGCTTCAAGAAAGAGTTTGGATTGTGTCACTATATTAAGTTCTGGAAGTGGATTTAGACATGGAAAGAAATTTTCTGTTGTGCAGAAAAGTGCTGTTTTCTTGGTATAGATTAACTAATTTGTTGTATTTTGTTAATGTTTTGTAAAGTACTTATCTGTAGTTAAGAAAGTTTGAAGGATTGTTGCAAAAGATTTGGGCGAGTTTTCAGAACATTTTAATGCTATAAAGTATTTATTTGTCATGATTCCAATAAAATATTAAGTTCTTTCCATATATTAAGTGAGCATTTTGGTGGTGTATATAGAAGCCAGAGGAGCCTTCATATTTCATTTTTCATCCCCTCAGCAATACTGTTAACATTCTTTTGCATATTCGCTATGTTAGAATGAATTAGTCATCGTACTGTGGCTGGAACAAATTTACAAATAACCCAGAATTTGAAGAGGAAACTAGGAGACTCCTTCAGTCTTTCCAGGGCAGTTATACAGGTGTAAGAGAGAGAAGGGTAGAAAGGCAGAAGTAAACGTCATGTGAATGAGAAGACAACCAGGGTCAGGAGAGGTGAGGAAAGAAGGTCAGGTCAAGTCACATCTGTTCTTAAGATTGTAACATTTGTACATTGTTCCAGGAAAGGAAAGTGTCAGAAAAAAAAAAAAAACAGGACTGTGATTCATATTAACCCTTAAACGGTCCAAAGAGATTGACGTTCAAATTTGTAGTGCTACAAAAGTAGATCTATTTTTTTTTTTACATATTTTCAAATATAACAAAAAAAAAAGTAGATAAAAGTTTTTTTACACGTTTTCAAATGTAAAACAAAAAAGATCTACATTTTTTTACATACTTTCAGATGTTGAAAAAACGTATATATACGTTTGGACCATTTAAGGGTTAAGAATGTTGTGTATAGAGACCACTGTAACAAGAGGACATCTGTGAAGATTAAGGGAGCTGTAGGGCAATTTTCCATGCGCTCTCAAAAAAAAAAAGAAAAATTATGGAAATTGAGTTATTTATACTGAAAAATAGCTTAACTCTTTGGCAACACAGTGGTACAAGAATCAATGTTCTACGACGTTTCTACAAGAAATTATAGTCATTTATATCAGGTATGGTGACGGCGATGTAGGTAGTGAGTCTGCTCACAACCCATATATTTTTTGGAATTTTTTCCTTGTTTTTTATCGCTTTTTCTTGCATTATTCTTTCTAATATAATAACTGCTATTTGGCATCATAAAACAGTAGGCAGAGCTTATCCCTAGACTTAGAGCCAATCAGGAACCATCTTGGAACGCTCGGCAGTATTCCCGCTCCAGAGAGAGCCAGGAGAAATTACTTCATTATTACGCTTATATCAGCTTATATATCAACTCTGCGGCTTATTTATCTATCAGAATTGATCTAATATGATATAATAAACACTATAAATAACATACAAACATGTTATATACTCTAGACTGAATAAAATAAGCCATAATGTGGCGACAGACAATCGGGAATATTTCCATATAAATGAGTTACTGCTCTCCATGTCGTATTCTTTGGTTTCTAGTAAGAGAAAACGGTGTTTTGAAGAGGAT